CATGTGACCCTTTAATTAGCACAATGTAATAGGAAAAATATGGAACTTAAGGTACCAAAACAGAAGTGCAAACCTGTTGGACAGGCTGTACCAGACAGCAAAAACCTAGCAGAGGGGGTCAGTTCAATCAATCAATCAGTGGTGGTAAGACCTATCAGATCAGTTATAGCTACCGGTGTTTACCACACCTGTCAATCTTAGCCACCACACAACTATAGAAATCAATAATAAATTCAGATGGATTAGATATTAAAGGCATTTGGAATCCATACATTCCATCCATACACAAGGTTGTAAAGGGAAAATGTGTTTTTTGCACCACAGTGTAAATTTTAGCATTTTAACGTGAGAGTTTGTAAATTTGCAGTTTTGGGCAATTGGCAGATCCTTTTTTCCAGCCTCCTAAAAAATGCTTGTTTCAAAGTTAAGCTGACAGAAATGTGCGTTCACTGATGCAAAGACTTTAGGCCTGCTGAAATTATTTTTGTTTTGTTCTTAGACCATTAACCAGTCGTCAGACAAAATCAAAGTGAGAGACCTGCAGATTGTTACCAGGTGAGAAAATCCGAAAATGACTCCTTCTTGGGAAAACTGCATTTGTACAGCGACATCTCCAACATATGTGAAAGACTAAGAAAGTAGTCCATGTTTGCTGTGTGTTAAATTGCAGAGAGGCTATGAGTCGCATGAAGGAGGGAGAGGAGGAGAAGACCAAGTCGTATACAGCTCTCGTGTGGACCCAGAAACCCATCCAGAGAGAAGACATCTCTTTTATTGATGACATCAAGGTCTAGTTGGTCTAATTCATAAGCTGTTGAAATTGGAGTGTTTTAACACTCAAACATCAAGAATCAGCAGTGTGACTGTTGTGTGTCTCATCAGGATCTGACTCTGGACCAGAAGACCCCTTTGAGGGTTCTGCATCGACGGGCGCTGGCTGTCCGACAGCGAGCCATCCACAGCATGAGCACTCGCTTCCTGGACTCTCATCATTTCTACCTACGATTGAAGACGCAGGCCGGGACGTATCCTCACTTTAAATGGCACATCTGTGCGATGATGAATTATAACATTGCACCGGTCAGTCTGTTGTTAATTGAAAGAACACCGAAACGATAAGCTAATAGAATATTTTACCCTGAATTTTATCTGAAACCTGCAGTGAGACAAAAAAGCTCCTTAATGCTCCGCCAACAGTTACATCAAAGAGTTTGTCCACGGAGACTTCGGCCGAACGAATCCCAACCTGTGCCAGCTGCTGAAGACTGACACAGACATCCTGGAACTGGATGTGGAGGTGGGAGAAAGTCACATCTGTAAAACAAATAATAAACAAAGCAACCATATTGAATATCATACAGAATATAACTGTCACTGTCTTTTCTGGAAATGTTATATGTCCCTAAATTCCTACTTGTTGAATATGATGTTTCCCTTCTCAGTCTGTGGATGTGGACTGGCCTCCCCCTGTGCCAGAGTGAAAGCTGCACTGCCACGCAGACGCTGCTCTTGTCCTGTTTCTGAGAGGATTCGGCTTGGACTGCACTGGTTCCATCTGCTGCTGGATTCCTGTTAGACCACAGTGCTGAACTGTCAGCAAACGGGTTCTGACAGTTGTGGTGAAGCCATGACGGTGCTTGGAGGAGAGGAAAACACAGTTCTCTCGGTTGGCTAGTCTGCTTTGTCTGGATTTATTTTTCATCTTCACATCATCGACTGTGAATCTTGAGTCTGAAGTAATTTAATAAATAATAGTGCCCTTGTTCTGTTTTGAGTTTTTTCAGGGCCAAGTGGACAAAGTAGTTTGTATGTAAAGATGAAAAACACGCTCCTTCCATTTTTGTGTACATACTGGTACTTATTTGCTTTCAATTAAAGTGTATCAAAAACTATCATTTGTTCCTTTGAAGCAGAATGTCAAATAAGACAGGCTAATGTGTAAAATGTAGTTATAAAACCTAAAAAAGCTCTTAAAACCTAAAACATTTTATTAAATTGTATTCCATTTTTTCTGTATTGATTTTGTTTTCTTTATTCTTTTTAAGCAGACTTACCAAATTAGTAGTGGATTAAAAATCAGATAAGGGTAGTATGACAGATGTATATTTTTAGTTGGAGTGGCTGATGGAGAGTTCGTTTGGATGCAGATGTGATGCTGGTGATCAGTCTGCATCACTTCCTAAATGTTGCTAAAACAAACAAAGGCAGCAGAATTTAAAACATACTTTTAAAGAGTTTGATCTTAAAGAAGAGGTCAGAGGTCCAAATAATGTTACAATTAGAATCTCCATCTCCTATGTTGTCAGTGCATGCTATGGCAGTAAGAAACATCATTTTAAATTGCTCTGTGTAGCATTATTAGGACTTTGACCTTGAAGGAGAGGTCAGACTACAGGACCAGCAAACCCTCCCCCGCATCCTCTGATGTCTCCTTCCTCAACGAGCTCAACAACTTTTATGCTCGTTTTGAGCGAGGGAACCCCACAACCACAACCAGCAGAGACCACCAACCTCTGACTCTCTCCCCCACCGATGTAGGAGCGGTGCTGAGCAGGATCAATGTCCACAAGGCTGCAGGCCCTGATGGCATCCCCGGGCGTGTTCTCAGAGCGTGTTCTGGGGAGCTTGCAGGAGTGCTGACAGACATATTCAACCTGTCCTTGGCCCACGCTGTGGTACCGGCCTGCTTCAAATCCACCTCCATCGTCCCGATACCCAAAAACTCCAACCCATCTAGCCTCAATGACTACCGCCCAGTAGCACTCACCCCCATCATCACTAAGTGCTTAGAGCAGCTGGTCCTAGCACACTTCAAATCCTGTCTCCCCCCACCCTGGACCCCCACCAATTCGCATACCGCCAGAACAGGAGCACAGAGGATGCAGTCTCCATCGCACTGCACTCTGTCCTCTCACACCTGGACAACAACAACACCTACGCCAGAATGCTGTTTATAGACTTCAGTTCAGCGTTCAATACAATCCACCCCTCACAACTCATCAGGAAACTGACAGACCTGGGCATCAGTTCCCTCATCTGCAAATGGTTACTGGACTTCCTGACCAACCGCCCCCAACATGTCCGGCTGGATAACCGCTGCTCATCTACCATCACAATGAACACCGGTGTACCACAAGGCTGTGTGATGAGCCCTTTCCTCTACTCCCTCTTCACCCACGACTGCAGACCTGCTGATGGTTCCAACACCATCATTAAGTTTGCAGATGACACCACGGTGATTGGCCTCATCAGTGACAACGATGAGGCCGCCTACAGGGAGGAGGTGGATCGTCTGGCTGAGTGGTGCGACACAAACAACCTGCTGCTTAACACCGAGAAGACCAAGGAGCTCATCGTGGACTACAGGAGGAATGCTGACCCACATCCACCCATCCACATTAAGGGGACGGCTGTGGAGCGTGTGAGCAGCTTCAAGTTCCTGGGAGTCCACATCTCCGAGGATCTCACTGGACGACCAACTGCTCCAAGCTGGTCAAGAAGGCTCACCAGCGCCTCTTCTTCTTGAGGACTCTGAGGAAGAACCACCTGTCCTCAGACATCCTGGTGAACTTCTATCGTTGCACCATCGAGAGCATCCTGACCAACTGTATAACAGTCTGGTACGGGAACTGCTCTGCCTCGGACCGGAAGGCGTTGCAGAGGGTCGTGAAAACTGCCCAGCGCATCGCCGGAGCACCACTTCCTGCCATAAAAGACATCTACAGGAAGCGGTGTCTGAAAAGGGCTGGGAAAATCATCAAAGACCCCAGTCACCCATCACATGGACTCTTCACCCTCCTGCCCTCTGGGAGGCGCTACAGGAGCCTCCGGACTAAGACCACCAGGTACCGGAACAGCTTCTTCCCCACAGCTGTCAGACTCCTGAACTCTGCCTCCTGACATCTGACCCACGTTAACACATGGACTGAACATACACACACCCACAATGGACAACTGTACCCTCAAACACACAATAATAACATGGACTGAACCACCACTCACAACCACTAGCACTTTATATAGCCTCTTAACTGCACTACTGCATAGTTCTGTGTAAATAATCATACGATAATTTTTAATTCTACAAGTGTTTACAACTTGCATAGTTCACATTTCTGTATAGTTTTTCATATTTATATCATAGCTTGTACTCACTACAGCCTGTACATACTTATAGTTATAGACATATTCATAACATACTTCATACCGTGTACATTATAACATACCATAATAGACCCATTTCTGTAATATACTTACATATCTATATCATTGCTAATATATATTGTAATATATCTATATCATTGCTAATATATATTGTAATATATCTATATCATGGCTAAAACACTTCTGGATGGATGCAAACTGCATTTCGTTGCCTGTACCTGTGACATGTGCAATGACAATAAAGTTGAATTCTATTCTATTCTATTATTAACTCCGCCAGGAAGGTTAAGGTGCACATGAAAAACTGACTTTGATTTTAAAGACTTGATGATTTTGGTTTCCAGTGACTGTTAAGTAGATTTGGTCTCGGCAAATGACCCAGAATGTGTCAGTCGAGACTTTCAGCTAGAATATTCCACTCATCAAGAGTCCGTAGTTCATTTTAGTGAGTCCATCATTTCTGGGGCAGCATATTTTAGCTCTTTTAAGTAATTCACAGACAAAAAAACCTGAAGCCACAGATTATCTACTAATCTTTACTTTGTTTTACATCAAGAAGCTCCTGGGCAGTTTCAATTTATGAGATTTATTATTAAGTTTTTGTACAGTTTGATATTAGAAATGTAATATTTGGCTTTTTTAAAAACTATTTTGTCTTCCATGTTAAAGAACCAAAATATTTTTTTGCTATATTAATCCAATCCAAGTGTATCTGTAAAATAAGTTGAACTTATTAGTTTTCTCAGATCTCTTTCTTCATAAAAGGCAAGATCTCATCTAAACAATAAAGAAAAAGGTCTGAAATCACCTGAAATAAAGAGTCACAACAGCAGAAACCCTGAAATGTATTTCTTTTAATTTAATTCAAAATAAATACTACCACGGCAATGCAAGTCCACTACTGGGTTCTTGCCCTAATGTTTTGGTAAGAAAACAAACAAGCAAATGATCGAAAAAAAAAAAAAAAAATCAGTTATGCATCCATCATTCTTCAGCGACTTTCAAGAGGTGCCTTTTTAACAACATACAAGGTAACACTGTCTAGAATGACAAACATTAATAAAACAAACACTATGGTATAAAAAGGAGGGAAGGAGAAGGAATTGGGACTGAAGAAACCTGATGAAACCAGCACCGCACACACGCACACACACAGGAAAACAAACAAACAAACAAACAAACAAACAAACAAACAAACAAACAAACGACAGTCCTCCAAGGCTCCTCTTATAGTTTTTTAAGAAGGTGAAGGGAACAGAAGTACAGTGCAGACTCCATGTTACAGATGTCCTCACATTTCTGGAGTCGATCGTTTTCAGGGACCATGGTGACATAAGAAAGGCGGGTTGGGGTTCGTCTCCATGGAAACATCCTCATGAATCACAAAAAACCAAACAAATGCAAAACTGAAAAAACAAACAAAACCCAAACAAAAAACAGTGGAAGGGTCCATTCATTGACACGTGTTTATTTTTTCCTTTTAAATGTTTTTTTCTTCAAAGCAGTTTTTGAATCGTTTGCGGGTGGTTTGGATTTTTCGGTCACTATTCTCATCAGCAAGCTTAACATACAGTCACACAGAAAACAAATGTTTATGCCTCATAAGTGAAGACAAAAAGAACAAAAAAGGCATTGCATATTTACACCAAGAAGTTTGGGGCCACTTTTTTCTCGCAGTCCTCACAGTCTTCATACACGAGTGTCTCACGGCTCAGTTTTCTTGTGATCTGACATGATCAGTAAATTATTGATACTCTTACTTCAATTTAAATATTTGTCTGTGTGTAAATACATTTCTCTCATAATACTGACAAGATTAATTGGGTCAGGACCCCTGCGTCTGGAGCTGGAAGCCTCACTTCTGCTTAGCATCTGTGTGATAAATTACATTTTCTTCACTAAGATTTGTCATGTAAAAACAGTCTTTGTATCTGTGTTTGTGAGTCAATATTTCTCCTCTTAAACTGAAAACAATGTTTCTTTTTTTTTTTCTTTAAAAAAAAAAAATCTTTACAGCAATCTTCTTCTTAGGTTCCTGCACAGCTGCAAAACCCTTTCCCTTCACTTTTTACTCACTACTCGATATGTCTCGGTCGTACTTCTCTACCTGCGTCGTTACTTTAACACACAAAGACGTACCAATCCTCAGTTCTTCTTCTTAATCTTTCCAAACATCTGTAAATGTACAAAATACTTTCAAGTCGGCAGAATTCTCCAGCAAATCAGATCTGATGTGTGCTCACAGGTGAAAAGGCTGCTTCACAAGGACAGTTTAGCTGACAGTATTTGGGATGATTGGATCGCTTTCCCCAATTCTCCACAGTCAGTTCCACTTCTTGTAGGAAGTGTGATGCATCAGTCAGGCCACTTCTGGGCAGAACTCACTAAACATATGCTAATACTGCCAGTGTGGGAGCCAAGCCTGCGAGCTAGTCCAGACGAGCAAACTCCAGCTGCAGTGTCAGTAACACCAACACGGCCCCCTCACTTTCACTACACTCCAAACACACCGTCTGCTGGTGGGTTTAAGCCGCAAAAGTCCCCACACTGACTCTGGCAAGTCAGTACTGCTGCTACTCGTAACCATCGCAACATCCACCTGTAGGGTACCAGGCCATACTCGGACTATCCAATGCTGTAATAAATTCATCACTTTAAGCTGTAGTTGCCCAACTACTGCCTTTAGTTGTAGCTGCACAGCACATCAGAGGACTATCTTCTCATCCATATAATTTTTTTGTCGAACTTACTGTCTGAATGAGTTTGGCAGCTTTCTGATCACTTTCAACAGCAGCTGAGCTAAGAAACAATAAAAATATCCACACGTCTTACTGTTTCCAATGAACAAAACACTTTTTCAGCTACATGCCAGAACACACATTGGAACAGGCGATACCAGAAGATTGTCAATTTAGGTTACTTGTGTTAAGGACTCACTATTTGGAGGCTATTGGAGGGGCCTCCATAAAAGCAGAGGCCAGCAGGAATCAGTTCAGTGACCAAAGTAACTAACACATGATGGGGACGGAACTGCATGAAGCTCAGTCTGAACAGTCAAAAACTTTCTTGTGACTTGATGCATGGAGTTTTTCCTTTGCAGACACCTTTCTCACTCACTATGTGTCAATAGACCTCTCTGCATTGAATCATACCTTATAAAGCGCCTTGACGCGACTGTTGTGATTTGGAGCTATATAAATAAAATTGAATTGAAATTCAAAAAGGAAAATAACAAAAAATGAAAAGTGGTTGTCCAGTGTATACTTTTGTATTTGGTAACTAACTGCAAGTAAGATCGCAAGGCAGTTCCAAAGGTCGCCTGGTGGGAGGCAATCTGTCAGACAACTGTGGTCTGACTCAGAGTGACTGAAATCACTCAGATTTCAAAGGCTTGCACATAACCGCTGGATAATTAGAAATAGACTGACAACATGTTGCTTTCTGAGTCAGCCTGTGCCAAAGAGAGCCACTCTTCTGTCTCTGTGCAACAAGACACTTGTCTCAGCTGGTTGGCAACTGGTTGTGTTCTTGTACATGCACAAAGCTGCTGATGTCATTTTTAAAGTAAAATTGCCATCCCAAGGCAACTGAACTTCTTATTCAAATCTGTTTCTTTAACACAGTTAATTTGTGCAAAAACATTGTATCCAAGTACAAATCTGACCCCATTAAATTGCAAACTGAGCGGATACAGCAGACTGACTGCTTGACTCCAATCTTATTGTCAAAGTCTTGATGCACCAAAAGTGCTTTGAAGATGGCAGGTGACACAGTTGCAGTGATTCTGTTCATGCTTTGGACTCCAACCACTGTTTTCACTAGTGTGACTGTAGCAATAGAGGATTAAATAAGCAACCAGAAGCAGGAACAGGCATCAGAGCCAACTACAAAGCAACGTGAAGCAAGCAAACTGCTTGGCATGTAGACGTGACCTGAGGCTTGGGGCTTCTGCAAGTTGTGGAGCATTCTCGTGTCCCCATGTTTTGCAAAAACAGAAGAAAAGACCATCAAATCTCAGTTTGGAGTAAACTGCCGACTTCACTATGATCATTATAGACAACACTGCGGTTTACTACATCTGAGAGTAAGTGTGTGTGTTTCTGTGTGCTATGACAGCATATTCTTGACCCCCATTCAATCGCAAACTGTACATACATACATGAAGCCATGTTTCCCTGTGTAAACATCCATTCCATTCTAGTCCTACAGCTACAATGAAGAAGAAGAAAAAAAAAGAGGAGAGGTGGATGAGGAGGAGAAGAAGCGGCGATGCTGCAGAGAAAGGCCTCGTTCCCCTGCCGGCTGTGGAAAGCTGGAGCGGTTAAGCTGAGTTTGAATGCGGTTGTGCTCTGTGGCGCCTGAGTGAACTGTGCAGTTTCTGGCAGTTTAGTGTTTCTTGTTTCAAAGTAACTTCAAAAAAGCGCAAAAATAAAATAAAATAAGAGGGAAGTTACTGCGACGAATGAAAGGAATGATTCACCCGTTCTCATCTTCCAGCTTCTCTTTTCTGTTTGTTTGTTTTTTGTAATCTGTAGGCTCACTGTGATTTTCATCACCATGGATTTGGGAAATGTGCGCTGCCATGGCAAATGTACGAGGAAGAGGTTTTTTTTGTTTGTTTTTTTCTTTCTTTTTTTTTGTTTTTTGTTTTTTAATGAGTGAACCATGAGCCATGCACTTCTTCTCAACTATTTATGACCTTTCACATCCCAGAACCCACCCACCCTCTCCCCTGATGAAAAATCCCAATCCCCAAAAACAACAAAAACACCACCCTGTAGGTATGATGCAAAACATCTGCACACATAAGGCAACATTTTTGGTTTTTTGTTCCCTAAAACGGCTCTTCCAAACCAAGTGCAAAAAAGTTAAAAGAAGAACAAAAAATGGGCAGAAACAACAAACAAACAAAAATATTAACGCAACCTGGGTCGACAACTTAATACTGACAGAAAGAAAAAAAAATAACAAAAACATTGCCTTCTGCAGTAAATAGCGCTGAAAATGTAGGAGACTTATTTTTTAGTGTGGGGAGACCGGCTGGAGTCTATCCCACTGTGCAAAAACCTCTTTTAAAGTCCCTAAAAAGACTTCTCCCCCTCTGCAAGGAGGCAGAGAAGAAGAAAAAGAGGGGAGACTGGTGTTTTTTTTTTTTTTGTTTTTTTTCCTAAAATGGCTACGCGTTTTCCTCAAAATGGCCACAAATGGGGACGATGCTGCCTGGCTGGGCTGGAGCTCACTCTCGGCCACTGGCCGAGTAGGAGAACTGTGGGAAATGAGGCCTTCGCTCGTTGTCTGCTGCATCCATCCCGTCCTCATCGTCTGTAAAAACACAAACAGGAAAACAAAAGAATGTTCCAATTATGGACAGTAAGGTTGTCCTTACAAACTTTAACGGCAGTTACCCCGACTCTCCTCAAATATTCAGTGTGTCCAATACTAATACTGTTTTCATTTGCAGTTGGTGTTTAGAGCCAGTGCCATGCAAACACGCTAAACTCACACTAGCTGCTGGCAGTGTCATCTCAGTCAGTTAATACAATGCAATAAATTACAGTGAATGTGCACTTACATTTTTCCGGTGGAGTGATGGTGATGGTCTGTGCTGTGAACTCTTCATCGAAGTAGCGCGTGTCTGTCTCAGAGGTGACCTGAGGCTGGAAGGGTGGTACCAACTGGGACGGACAGAAAGCAGAGAGCGGTGGTGTTGTATCACTGAGGGGTTCAGTCTTCAAACAGCTTCACATATGCTGTCGTTTCAACTGAAGGAACACTTTTTTTGTCAAATGACTTTTATCAGTCGTGCTAATACAACACAGATTTTAATAGAGCATTTTACCCTTAGACTACAGACACCCTCTGTACTTTTAAGATTAGACTTAAAATTCACCTTTACTAATTAGGTCCTGCATTTTTTACAGTTAGGGTTAGATATTTTTGTTCACCTTAAACAGAACTCAAATCAAACATTTAGAGCCTTTTTTTCTTTTTACTTTATTAAAATTATTTTGGTGAGTTCTAAACTTTTAGATAGTCTAACATACACTAATACAAAGAAATTATCACCAGACTACATAGTGTGTTATGTTTCTTCATTAGACGTACAAAAAAAGCAAATTTCAGGGGAATACAGTTTTTGGTCCAAATGTGAACACAGAAGAACTGGGGAACAAAATCAGTTTAAAACTTCAAACCATATTGTTGTCTGTGTCTCCAATACGCACATGGGAGGCCTGGGTGGACACGTTATTATGAAAGCTCAAGTTGAGAAAAAAACAACATACAAATATGTGTAAAACGACCTGGTGGTACTTGTCTGACTGTGTTATAGTGTTCAAATGAAATAAAGATGAGGTAATGTTTTGTCCTTTTCATTCCATTTTGGATTTTACATGTCAGCCAGACTTCTTTTGAAAAATACGGTAACCCTGATACCAGAATACCTCAGAAACACTGTTTGAATCGATTTCGATTGAAGTGACGATGACGTCTAGCAGCTAAATCCTGCTCTCACCTTCTTGTCGTAGACGTCCTGCCAGTCGATTGTGCCAAAGAAACTGTGCCGCATGATCTCCTTAGCGTCATCCGGTCCACCGCCCAACCTGTCAACCAACACACAGAATAAGAAGGAGATGGCGTCAAAGTCATACATCAAATAGCGCTCTCACAAAGTCTCCATCAATGGAACCAGAATATCCACCTGCTACTGATCCCAAAATAACTTGATGGGGTGAACAAGTTCGCTCAGTGAAGCTGCAGTAGCCTCTTTTCACTGGCGTCTTCGTTAGACACAGAAAATGCTTCAGGGATGATAAGAGTGGAAACTTGAACGCAGCCACCAGCTGGTTTTGCCTGAGAACATTTTAGCTGGGCACCCATTAACATAAAGAGAGTTTGTGCTCTCCTCAAGTGTGCGCAAGATTATTAATTTAAGCAACTGTATGTAAGAACATGTTATCTGGATATGTAACCACTTTGCCAAAGTCTGGCAGGAGACGCAAATTCCACCTCAAGTTGAAATTAGGTAAAGTTAGGATGTTGAGGAAGCACAGAGGCTTAAGCCTGCCATTAACTGGAAACTACTGGAACACAAAATAATAATAAGTTTTACATTGCCAGGGACAGAGAAGGTACTGACCAACAAAGAAGCACCTGCTCCAAAATCGACAGCTTCAAGCAAAACTATAATTTGCTGATTTTCACCCGTACAAGCCAAATGCCTTCTGGAGAAAGGTTTTATGGTCAGAGAAGATAAAGTAGGGCTGCACGATTTTGCATAAAATGAGAATCACGATTCTCTCACGATTCTCTTTTCCAGTAGAAATATTTATTGCACTTATTAACTGCACATCAACTTCGTAACAGTTGAGACTGAACATAAAAACAATAAATAAACATAAAAACAACAAATGTCTCACGTTTTGTTGTTGCTGCAAAATGTCGTACTGCTTGAAATTCCGTCTCCACCGTCGCTCGACGCTGCGTGTACAGAGCAGGTAGTGCAACAATAGAAAAATAGTTGCGGGACGGCACTGTGTAGCGTTTGTCTAGGGTGTTGATCATTTTCCTAAATCCCTCGTTTTGCACAGTGTTGATGGAGCCATATCTGTGGTCAGGTGATAAGTGATAGGCTCCGTAATTTCTTTGTGCCTGCGGGAGTTCGAGGTGTATAGGGAAGCGCTGTATAAGGTTCCCGTTATTGATGTTTGGGTGGTTGACCGGGACGGATTTTCTCCTGTCACTTTCTCGTCATCCCTGACGTGCTCTCCGTTGTTTTTCCTGCTAATTTTAGCATCACACGGCACAGCTTCTGTATCACGTGGTATAAGGCTCCGCCCTTGTCATTTGTTGAGCAGGAAGAGTGAGCGCTTGTTTTCATGCAGAGTACGTCCCGGATCAAAATGCGGCACAATCGTCGTTGTCATTTGGAAATGAGATCGCACATAAGTATGAATCGAGATCGCGATTTTCTAGCGATTAATCGTGCAGCCCTAAGATAAAGATTAATTTATCTAGCCACAATGACATGAGGTATGTTTAGAAAAGTAAAGCTGAGGCTTTGAAATGCTGCTAGCAGCAAAATGCACCTGGTTGAAGTGCAACTTGCATGCTGCATTTGCCTGCCTGCCACATTAAGCACATCTCTCATACAGTTTAAAAAAAATGTTGGTTAAAATTTGGTTTTCTTAGTTTTCTTATCCCTTTGAAAAGACCTGACAGAAAGGCCTGTTGCACCTGTACATTTTAAGTGTGCTATCAGTGACAGAAAACCGCTGAGTGAACCTCAGACAGTCAGCAGGTTTTCCATTCGTAGCTAAGTCAGTAGTGAAGTCAGGACTCGTAGAGAGTCTTTGTGTCAATGAGGGGACTGTCTAAACAGGACAGGGCAGTTAGCAATAAAAAGAACTTCACTGCACAGGTAAGCTGATCAAAATTACATTTGCATGCATACCGTTTGTTGGGGTCCTTAATGAGCAGCCCTGACAGGAGTGACTTGGCGTCAGCTGACAGGGTTCGTGGGAATTTTATCTCTTCCATGAGGATGAGCTCAAACAGCTTCTCGTGGTCCTGGTTGTAGAAGGGCAGGCGTCCGCACATCATCTCATATGTCACCACGCCCAAACCCCACCAGTCCACTGCACGTCCATAGTCATTGTCCTCTAGCACCTGAGGATTTACACAAAAACCCTTTTACTGTATTGCTCCCACTAGCCCCATTTGTACTTCATTCAGAAGAAGCCCTACATAAAAGGTTCTCCTCTAGTGACTGTTTATATTAAAAGCCACGAGGCCACTATCGTTATGATTAGCTCAACTGAGAACTTCACAAAAATTCTTTTTTCAACCTTTAACTGTGTGATAACCTCTTTCATATCCTCTTTATGAAGCAAACAACTTTCTAGTTCTCCACTGAGAACCACATTAAAAGAAGTGAGATCAGTTACCCACTGGAAAGAAAACCCTTCATCAGAGGAACTGCCTCCTAGGGCACTTCCACATTGGACCTGGTAGTTGCTGGGTGGTGACACACAGACAAACAGAGGATCCGAAAAACAGTTTCCTTCCTGAATTTGTTACAGAGGACAAACCGGATAAATTTGGTTTTGTTTTTTTAATCTTATGCTCTCTTTCTTGTTTTTTATAGCCATAGGAAGGTTTGTCAACATCTGAAACCCAAAATTCAGATAATAGTCTTTATGTGTATCTGGTGTGACCGCTGACCTCAGGAGCCAAGTACTCCGGTGTTCCACAGAAGGTTTTCATAGTGGCAGTGTCAGTGATGCCTTCTTTGCAGAGACCAAAGTCAGTGATCTTGATGTGGCCATCTTTGTCCAACATGAGGTTCTCCAGCTGATGAGTAGTTGAGGAGAAGAATAAAACCCATTAACCTTTACTGTATCCTTTAATAAGCAGGAAATTCAGAATAATAACGGACACTTCTCAGATCTCACACAGAGCAGGTGTACTTTACCTTCAGATCACGGTACACGATCTTGGCAGAATGCAAATAATCTAAAGCAGAGACGATCTCAGCGCCATAGAAACGGGTGCGGTCCTCTGAAAAAACTCTCTCTCTTGACAAGTGGAAAAATAGCTGTGGACAGGGAAACAAAAAGAATTCATGCAGTTTAGATATGTTTCTCTTATCGAGTGATAATTCACTTGGTGAAATCATGACTCAATAGCTTCAGCAAGCAAACACAACAACTTTGAATTACACACAGTTTTAGTCCAAACAAAAGCAGAATCATTGTTCAGTTTAATAGAATAGAATAGAATGCCTTTATTGTCACTATACAGTTGTACAATGAGATACAGAGCATCTCCTACTCAGTGCAAACATGCTGGGGGGGCACAGTTCTGCAGCACTATATGCATATGGACAGTATTAACAGAGAAAAAATATATAAAATGTACAAATATACACAAGCCAGTTTTAAAAAGTAATAAATAACTTTTTAAAGCAAATCTATAAAGGGGACCAAGTCTCCATGTCACTCACACATTTAATAGATTCAATATAGATAGAATTAAAAAAAATCTACAAACACTTAAAGTTGCTTAAAATCATTTTATATATCATAATTGTCACTTTATGGTCATAAAATAAACTAAATAAACCCTGAACTGATTCGTGCTTTAAAATGATGAAACTATTACCACAATGGAACCACAAAAGTTCAGACTTCCCAGTCCAACGTGTTTCCCAGTGAAACGTAACACTATCTAGTGAGAGACTGCTTGCTCTAAAAGCACTTTGAATCTCATACTGTCATGTTAATCAACATTATTCAATAATTTTTAAAAATCCTTGTATGTTAAACGAAAACATCTCTCATCAAAGTGCTATTTAAAAAGTCTCTGAGTGACTTCTTACCTCTCCTCCGTTGACATACTCCATTACAAAGCACAGCCGATCCTTTGTCTGGAATGAATACTTCAGAGACTGTGAAAAATATTGAAATATATTTTAAACCCAGACGCGCCATTTGTTTCAAACGCAACACAAAAGCTCTTTGAATCGAGTGCATCTTTCCAGCTGTTAGTCTTCACAACACTTCTTAAGAGTCTCTGCACAGATGCTAGTAGTCATAGCTTGTTTGGACAAAATGCAAATTACAACTTGGTTCACACAACTCCTAGCAGGATGTGGCTGTATGTGGTGCAATGATACATGCAATCTACCATACTTACAGTTAGGAATGGATGCCGAGTATTTTTTAAAACCCTACTTTCTGTGAGAGTGTGAGCAACTTCATCCTGTTCAAAAAGATTAAAGAGCAATGATTAGTGAGGAGTAAAAAGGAGCTCGTCTCTAAAAAGATCAAGCCAATACTGAGCTGAAATCTAAAATTTGAGAGAATGTTTGATATGAATGTGCTTCATCTAACAAATGCAAAACACCAAATATTAGAAGGCAGACATGCTGTAATTAGATTCAGATTAGATTAGTCAAATATGTAACAGTAGATTCAAAAAATACACCTCGTTACTGAATTATTCAGCAATAAGGCTGATCATTTAAAAGAGGACCTTGGCAATGATGACTTCTTTTTTGAGGATTTTCATGGCGTAGTAGGTGCCGCTCGCCTTCTCCCTCACCAGAATGACTTTACCAAAAGTGCCTTTGCCCAAAAGCTTCAAATAGTCAAAGTCATTCATTGTCTGTGGAAAGAAATATCAGGAAACAGTTGTCATAAGCATTTCTCCAGCCTTCAGTACACTTCATCTTCAAAGCAATATGCTTAAAGTAAACCAGTCAGCTCACAAACTGGGACATAGAAGAATGGTCAGATCAACAATACTGATTTTTACTGTATATCCCACAAACACTTTGTATTGTGAGTCCTTGATACTGCAAGTAAAAAACAGTGTTTTAACCTCAACTGCTTTATTACAGTTGGACTTCTATGCTTCTTCTTATTTTCTGTCATATTTGTAGCGGTACGACAGTGGATGTTCAGGTTTCCGGAAATTAGGTCAGTGTGTGTAGCAGTAATCCAGATGAACCAAAAGCTCGGGTTTCACACTGCTTTAAACACTCGGTTTCAGTTAAAGAAACGAGAGCAGACACAGATATCTTGCTGTTCAGATTTTACGTTATTTAGAGGCACTCAATCAGCAGGGACGCTGGCCTAAAGAGATTAAGAAGCAAGCTAAAACAGCTTGTTTCAGGTGAGAGTGGGCGTGCTTCAAGGCCCAGCATATGATGAACAAGGATTATTTTGAACTGTAACTCATGAAAAACTACTCTAGGACAGTTCCAGCAATAAAAGTATGAAGCTGGAAATGAGAATTAAAGCAGTCTCTACCTTTCGTTTGTAGTGGCTAATGGAGGTGTCCATCTCCTCCTCGTTGACGTTTTCAATCTGGGAGGTGGGGCTGCACAAGATGCCCTCCTCCTCCTGCTTGGCTAGTGACTCTGCTACCATCTGGATGGCCTCAGCCCACTCGTCCCTGTAGGAGATACGTGGAAACAACATCATAGATTAAACGTCAAAAGTCTATTTTCTAAATTTCTTAAATAGATGGTTAAATTAAACTATATGCCTTCCGTATGGGAAAAGTTAAAGTTTTCATAACGTCACTCTGCAAAGTATTCTTCTTTAGTTCGACAGCTTCCGGCTGCACATTTTTTTGTCAAGTTCTCAAGATTTGTAGTAGTAGTATAAATTGTTAATTCAAACAGGTAATGTCTTGGAGACTGACGCCTCTTTTTCAAGAAGAATCTGTCTGCAGAAAAACGTAAAAAAAAAACCCTGAGAAAAACAACTACATAATAATACTGTGATTAAATTCAATCAAGGATCAAAGGTGAGCATGAAATCTTTACAGCAGAGTCTTATAAATAACAATTTGCTGGGGGCCTAAATATGAGATACAATGGTGAGTAAGAACAGAATCACTGGTGATGAACTGTGAATTCTATCCTGATCTGTATGTTAATAATCCAAGTGGCACTCTGTCAATCTTTATAAATGTGAGCAATTGTTTTAAAACGCAACGTGAAAAAAATTACGAAACTCCGACTTCTTTGTCTTGCATCGTTTAGAGTCCTCAGTGTTCAGTTTAAGACATTTTCTTAAGATGTTTGTTACATTTTTTTCTTGCCTTTTAAAACTTTTTAAGGAACCTTTTGGATATACTTGGTCAAAACAAACTGTTCTTCAGGGTCTCTCACAGCGATCCACCATCCTCAAAACCAACCAAATCTGTGATAAAACCACCCCCACTCATGTGTTTTTAGTTTAATGTTGTTAGTAACAAATCATTTCACATCAGGTATCAGGTCTTTGTGCGTACATTTTTTTAGTGTTTACTTGCAAAACTTGACTTTCCATCTCAGTCCCACTCACTTCCTGACTGTCTTCTCATTGTGTTGATTGAATCCTGCTGTGTAAAGTAATTAGAATTTAATTCAACCATTTCCATAATCTGACCCACTCCTTTCATATTAGGTAATGACTCTCATATCTTTTTATTAAATATTATTTATTTTTTCTTCATAATAAATACACACAGTCAATGGAAGCCCACAATCTAATAAATTATTTACATTAAAAGAGCTGCAATGCATTTCCGTTTTCTCTGTCATACATGCACACTGTTCTAAACGCTGCATTTTTTTCCTCCTACTCTTGGCTTTTTATGTCAGTGAGATAGGATATTGCTAATATGAGTACTTCATCCCTAGAGGTATTTCTGTGAACACGGAAGCCTTACCGATCTGCCTTCGTAGATCTGCGTTTAATATCAAAGCCAATCAGAAGAAAGTTCACTTAAAGAGAGAGATACTTGTTTCAGAAGGAGGGGGGGTTGAACAGTGGTGTGGTGCCTCATAGTAAGAAGGTTCTGGATTCAAGCCTCTCAGGTTTAGATTGATTCGTGATTCTAAATTTCCCTGCGAAGAACACAGACAGGGCAGCGCACCCTACATCTTGCCTTTGGTCAGCTAAACTTCAGCTCCGGCCCCGCTGGAGGCTTAAGAAGTTAAAAATATGAAAGAATGTGTTGAGGCTCTATAACAAGTATCAAAAGGACATTATTTTTAACTATAAATCAGACAAAGTTATTTAAACAGAATCTACGTAACTTCTGTAATATTTTTTCTCCTTTTCCTTAAGATGTATACCTTTTTTTTTTTTTTTTAGAAGGATCTTCTTCATTATCCAAGGCTGCTGTAATAGTGAAATACAGGAATTTGTAAGATGACAGCTCACCTCTCATCAGGAGTGTCAACATGAAAAGTTCTTTCGATGACTGTCGTCCACTGCAGACAGCGGATGATAAAGGTGTTTGGCTTTGGCCGCTCCGTCTTCATCAGCTGGCATTCTGACGGTCACACAGAGAGATGTGTTGAGTCGTACAAAGTTAGCGATGTTTGAAACGTGCGATGATCCACTCATGGCTTACTTGCTACAGAGAAGTTGTTGAGTGGGTAGGCCAGGTCAGAGTCTTGTGGTTTGTCCTTGTAGCCGATGAAAGAGCCGTCTGTCTTCAGCAGAAAGTAGCGTGGTCGCCAATTCTTGATGTACTCTCCTGCAGGTAGTGAATAAAAGATAAAAATGGCACCAACAGCTCAAACCCTGGTACTATCACATCTTTTTAAACCTTTCATAAGTCTGTTCTATAAAATAGAATTAAGTACCAGTGCCAGTTCCTAATCCACAGATTACCACTAAGACCACTTTGGACTTTTATTTACTGGTGTTTTAATCATGAAGACCTCACACTAAACTAATGATAGCTGGGGAATGCTGTTCAAGTTCAGAAAGATCCAGAGATTACACTTTCAACTAGGATTAAAAACGTCCGCAAAGTCACAAACGAGTCATCCCTTTAAAACCTAGCAATTGTTATTTTGTGTCATTTTTTGTTTTACTCTCATTTTAGCTTCACCCCCAAACTCCATATAACAATTTATGTGTTGCTTCCCTGCTATCCGAGTCATATATTTGTGACATAATTACAACAAATGCTGTAATTATGCTGTGCTGTATCCATGTTACTTGGGTACATAGGGCGATCGTTGGGAGTTCGCCTTGTAATCGGAAGGTTGCTGGTTCGAGCCCCGGCTTGAACAGTCTCGGTCGTTGTGTCCTTGGGCAAGACACTTCACCCGTTGCCTACTGGTGGTGGTCAGAGGGGCCGGTGGCGCCAGTGTCTGGCAGCCTCGCCTCTGTCAGTGCGCCCCAGGGTGGCTGTGGCTACAATGTAGCTCCATCACCAGTGTGTGAATGTGTGGATGACTGGATGTGTGAAGCGCTTTGGGGTCCTTAGTAGTAGTCCTAGTAAAGCGCTATACAAACACAGGCCATTTACCATCTACCATGGATACATCCTATATATATTTATATCTTGATAAATTAGAGAGTCATACTAGCAGCAGAGTTAACAAAGAACTGTGATATCAGTGATTACTATCTGAACCTCTTTATGGTCTATCAAACAAGTCAAACCCTGAAGAAACTATGACATGTGATGACTCACAAGGCTTCAGAAAAAGAAAAAAAAAAACAGTCTTATGGGAAGGATAAAGGCTTCGGCATGAGACAGACACCAAATATCTCTGTCAGTAAGACAACTGCCGCTGACAGCAGCTCTACTTTAAGGGTAAAGTAAGCAATTTTAGTGGGGGTCATTTATTAGAAAAAACAAACTCGACATTGTCGCAATTACTGTCAGCAGATTAAACGGGGAACTCTCCTGGCTCTAAGCAGCTGACACTTAGCTTGCTAAACATTAACAGCTAGTTATAGGCTAAAATTATGCCAGCTAATGTAAACACGCGAGCTTCACTGAATCATGAATTGATATCTGAACGTTTTACAGCCTCATTCAGAGTAAACAAACATGGTGATGCAGCATATTGTCAGCTGAGGTAAACAGTAGACTGACAGCCTACATTCATTACAGATGAACGGCGGCAAGAACAGCTCTTTGTCCTTGAGTGGCCAGCATAGCTAGGATTGTGCACTTCAATTGGGAGGGAAAACAGATTGTTGTCATCAATCTGACATCCATTGGTGAGATTTTACATACTGCACCTTTAAAGCTGGAGAAAGGTTTTTGAATGTATTTTTTGTCTCAACAGTCCACATCTCTGCTTAACAGAAACATGCTGTATGTCCAGATATTTGTACAGTGGAATAGTAGAACTACATTTTTTATATCAGTTGAGCTATTACTCATATAAATCTCTTCAAAATGTGTACTGTCTGGTCCTGCCCTACTTGACCTTTCAAACTGAATGATTTCCCATTAAGTTACAGTTTAAATCTATACCTGATCACATTAAACAACTTGCATCTTCAGCTGGTCTTGCTTGGCCTCCCTCTTCCTTACTCCCAGGAGAGGGAACTTCCAACTCATTTACAACTTCTACAGTCCATCCTCTTTAAACAAGCTATTTAAGGTTCTCTTGTTTTAAGGTCACCCTATCTGTAAGCCCCCTTCCTTCTGATTAACAAAAAGGTTTAAACAACAGGTTGGTGGGACCTCTGTGCCAACAGCCAGAGCAATGTGACATCACTGAATCCAAAAGTAGAC